CTGTGAGGTGAGGTGTCCACAGAGAGGCCAGCCAGGCTCACTTGACACCTGCCGTGGTCCGGCGCTCTGTGGGTGGTTCCAAGCTTCAAGTTCCCAAGCACTTGGCCCCATTCAAAGGCATGCGAGTGGCTTGTATGGTTGGTGGCAGGATGTAGCCCCCCACTGGGCCTTGCCAGCCCAAAGTAAAGCTGGGGGAAGTAGGGGGTCTATGGTCCCTCATTTCCCAGGAGGTGATGGGGGCTGGGGAGCCTCATGGCAGCCCTGTGACGTCTGCTCCTCCCTGCCCCTTCCTTCCTTTTTAAAAAATTTTAGCCATGCTGCGCAGCTTGCGGGATCTTAGTTCCCAACCAGGGATCGAACCCATGCCCCCTGCAGTGGAAGCGTGGAGTCTTAACCACTGGGCCACCAGGGCGGTTCTGCCTGCCCCATTTGAGAGCTGAGAATATGAAGACCCGGAGGACCGGGGAACGTGCCTTAGTCACACAGCTGGCAGATAGCAGGGCAGCCTCGGAATCCTGCTCTCTGCTCCTCACACCAGGTGCCAGAGCCTGGAGCAGCAAGGGCCGTGGTGCAGCCCGGGCAGTCTTTCTGGAGTGGGTCTGGCCAAGATTCACCTCCCAGGCTTTGGGTCCCGGCCCAACCCTCCAGACACTCTGCTCAGGGCCAGGATCCAGGCTTGGATGACTCTAGGGGATCCTGGTGATGAAAGTGGCACACAGGTGTTGTCTGCGTGTCACCTCCTCACACCCTGCAGCCCCTGCTGTGCTGAGTGGCATCTGCAGAGAACAGCACTGCCATCCCCGGGGCTACCCAGACTGGCCAAGTCTACGTCTGTGTCTGCATCTTAATACAGTCCCTGGTTTGAGACACACCTCTTCTCTGCCCCCCGGTCCTGGGAGGGAGGTTCCAAGGGGTCCCTGATCCCAGGCCACTGTGCTGCACAGGGAAGGTGGAGCACCTGGCCCCAGACAGGAGGGGGCCCGTCTTGGGAGGGGAGGTGGCTCTGCACAGGGACGACCGTTTGTGGAAGTCGGGCCTTAGGGCCAACACCCAGGATGCAGCCAAGCCCTCTGCTCCCAGGGAGAGGCTGGGCGTCACTGTCTAACCTCAGGGGTGGCAGAGCTGGGAGAAGCCGGAGACACGCCCACTTTCTCTGGCCTCTGCACCTCTCTGCTCCCAGCTCTTGTCTCCTCCCCCCGGGACACTCACAGCTTTGATGTGAAGCCAGTTCTGGATGATGTGACCACTTTGGGTCCCCATTTCCCGGACTGTGCGCCCGACGAGGGCAGGTCTGCTCTGTCTCATTCATGCTGTGTCCTCCCACCCATGAGAAACAGACAAGGGGCTGACAAAAAAGCCCATGAGGAGAGTTGGGGAGGGGGGGATGGATCTGAGCACCTCAAGGGTCCTTTGAGGCTCATGTGGGATGTGGCTTTGGCTCGGTGCTCCAGAGGCCCGTCACAGGGTGTCGCCGAGAGGACACAGCAAGACCCTGTCCCTGGAGATGTCCTGGCAGGGCCTGTATGGCTGAGGGCAGCCCTGGCCAGTGGGTGGGTACAGTTGGAGGCCTTCTGAATCCTGAGGGTCCAATGACATTCTCTTCGTGATCTTCAGAACATGGGTCAGGTGGGGTTCTTGGGAAACCAAAAGAGCAGAGACTCGGATCCGAGCAGTGACCCAGTCAGGAAGGATGGGCTGGATGCAGCAGCACTGGCTGCTTCCTGCCTGGGAGAGGAGGGGGGCGTGTGAGGTGGGTGTCCCCTCCACCTCGTGGGGAGTGGCGACTCGGCCAAGCTAGAGACTCAGGGGCCTCCTGGGTCCCTTTCCTTCCCTCCCTCCATGGTCTGCACACCCAGCCTCCAGGACAAACCCAGGATCTGGCTACCGACACCACTGGCATCCCCGTATCACCAGCTCAGATGACCACAGCGCTGGGCTCTGAAGCACATGTGTTCCTGCCTCCCAGAGACAGGATGGTTTTCCGCTAAGCACAGGTGGTGTCCCCCTGCCATGTCCCCTGTCCCCCTGCCACGTCGCCACACTTTCGGAACCCTGAGCACCTCGCAGGCCTGTAGGCAGTGTCCAGGGCCCTGCAGCCCCTCTGCCCATTGGATGGTTTACCCCTTTTCCCTAGGCTCTGCAGAAGGCCGCTGATGTGGGCGGCCTGTGCAAGTCGGGGACCTCCCGTCAGCAGCGACTGTGTGTCTTGTGCTCGGCGTCAGCTCTTTTACCCCTTGGTTGTGTTTTGGGAGCTGGTGGGCAGTAGGAGTCGAGGAGCCTTCTTTCTCTTCCTGCTTTCTTGGAAAGACCGGTGCCCACATTCCTGGCCCTCATTTGTGGGCAGGGGCAGGCGTCAGTCCCAGGAATGGGAAAGCAAGTTCCAGAGAGCCGGAGGCCATGGGGAGGGAGCAGAGGGCTGGGGAGGATGGCCTTTGCCTGGGGTGGGGTGTGGGGGCTGAGAGAGTCCTGGGAAGGCTCTTGACCCCATGGAGGCTGATGGGCATTGCCCCCTTCTGTTGTGTTTGGAGGAGGAAGTGATATATTAGGGCCTCCTAAACTGCTAATTTATCTATGCATTTCTACAAAAGTTTTCCGAGATGAAACAGCAAAGGGGACAGGGGCTGGGGGGGTGGTAGGGGATGAGGGGAAGCGAGTGGGGGCGATAGGGGCTGGGCCACAGAGGACCCTGTATGCTGTGAGGCCCTGGATGTCATGGCAGGGTTTTGCCCAGGACCTGAGAAGGCTCAGATGTCCTTGAGTTTTGTTTTGTTTTTGAGGTGAAAGTCATAAAACATAAAATTCACCATTTTAAAGTATATAATTCAGTGGCATTTAGTGCTTTCACAATGTTGTGCAACTATCATCTCTGTTTAGTTCCAGAACGTTTTCATCACCCCAAAGGGAATCCTGTACCCTCAGGCGGTCACTCCACACACCCCCTCCCCCAGCCACTAATCTGCTTTCTGTCTCTATGGATTTCTGGGCATTTCATATAAATGGAATCATGTAACACGTGGCCTTTCGTGTCTGGAGGCTTTCACTCAGCCTCATGTCTTCAAGTTTCTTCCATGTTGTAGCATGAATCAGTTTCATTCTTTTTTTTTTTTAAGACCGAGTAATATTCCATTGTATTCATACACCACGTTTTGTTTATGCATTCATCCACTGATGGGCATTTGGGTTAGTTCCACCCCTCTCCTTTTCAAAACTTTATTTTTATTCCAAGACAACCTTTGCCTTGTGCATCCTCATTTTGAGGTGCAGGAATCTGTTTTACTTGTCGCATCCCCAGCTAACTGCCCCCATAGGTAAATCCATCTTAGGGCAGTTATTCTTGGTTTTATTGCTTCCTTACGTTGGTGACAGGAAGATCCCACGCAACCTGCTGTTTCCTGGGCCCGGGTTCAGTCCTCCTGTGTCCTCTTATAGCTCTGGGGCTGCGGACAAACGTTCAGCGTGTCCCTGAAAGGTAGGACTGACAGGCGTTTCCCCTCGACTGGGTGTCCACCGAGTGCAGCCAGAGCCAAATTCTTCTGTAAACGGCCAGGGTGACTTTATGGTCGTGTGGCCGCCCTCCCCTGGGGTACAGGGCACAAGAGGCATGCTGGCTGGTGTCAGAGTGGCTGGACCTTGAAGGTCAGCACCTGCTGGAGGTGGCTCTCCCTCTCCCATGGTGAGAAGCTGGCCCGTGTCACCCCCAACCCCAGGGCTTAGTGCCACCCGGGAGGCTGCAGGTTTCGAGTTCCTCCTTCAGACCTGTACTGGAGCTCTGTGCTGGCAACTAATCCCACCCTGCCTCCTGCAGGGGAGAGAAGAGGGGCTTACCCATGGGGATGGCTCACTGGGGCACAGGGGACAGTGAGGTGACATGGAGAGTCCTGTTCCTTAAAACGAGCACTCAGTGGGCACAGGTCATTTTATTTGTTATTATTTATTTATTTATTTTTGGCTGCGTTGGGTCTTCGTTGCTGTGCGTGGGCTTTCTCTAGTTGTGGCGAGCAGGGGCTACTCTTCGTTGCGGTGCGCGGGCTTCTCATTGCAGTGGCTTCTCTTGTTGTGGAGCACGGGCTCTAGGCGTGCGGGCTTCAGTATTGTGGCTCGTGGGCTCTAGAGCGCGGTCTCAGTAGTTGTGGCACATGGGCTTAGTTGCTCCTTGGCATGTCGGATCGTCCCGGACCAGGGCTCAAACCTGCATTGGCAGGCAGATTCTTAACCACTGCACCACCAGGGAAGCCCCGGCACAGGTCATTTTAGAATGAAAGCTAATGAAATAAATTTTTAAAGAGGAGAAGGTTGGAAGCAACCCAAAGGTTCATAGATGGGTGAACAGATAAAGGAATTATGGTGTGTCCACACAGGGGAATATTACTCAGCTAGAAAAAGGAATGAAGTATTGACACACGCTACAACATGGATGAACCTTGAAGACATCAGGCTAAGTGAAAGAAGCCAGATACAAAAGACCGCATGTTGCATGATTCCATTTATATGAAACATCAAAACAGGCAAATCCATAGTTACAGGAGGCAGATTATTGGTTGCCAGGGGCTGGGGGAGGGGGATTGGGGGGGTGACTGGTAATGGGTATGGGTCTTCTTTCACAGTGCTGAAATGTTCTGGAACTAGATAGAGGTGATGGTTGCATAACATTGTGAGTGGATTTTATGCCACTGAATTGTACACTTTAAAATGATGAATGTTATGTGAATCTCATCTCAAATACAAAAAAAAGGGATGCGGGAGGCTCTGCAGGTCCTGCATCAAACCCCGCCCATTTCACAGGCGGCAAATGGAGGCTGGAAAGGCGCATCCACTGCCACGGCCAGTCAGTGGGCAGGTGGCAGACACTATTGGGACCCAGGCCTGGTTTCCACTTCTCTGGGGCTGGTTCTGGCAATTTTACCTCCACCCGGGGCAGCTTCAGAGCCCTGCCAAGCCTGCCCAGGGACCAGACGGCCCTGAGGCCGGTGAGCCACCTGCCCACCTCTGCTCTCCCCCAGCATGGCCGACAAGAACGGGGCCCTCAAGTGTACCTTCTCAGCCCCTGGCCACAGCACCAGCCTCCTGCAGGGCCTCGCCGCCCTCCGCGCCCAGGGCCAGCTCCTGGATGTCGTGCTTACCATCAACCAAGAGACCTTTCACGCGCACAAGGTGGTCCTGGCCGCCTGCAGCGACTACTTCAGGTGAGCGTGGGCCCCCAGGGGCAGGGTGGAGGGTGCTGCCCTTCTAAGAGGGAAGATCTCAGGGCTGGGCATCTAGCCAGGGATGGCTCTGAGGGAAAATGGCTGGGGTTAGCCCATCTTTGGGTTTAGAGAGAAGTTCAGTAAGCCTGCAGGTTTTTCCAGGTTTGCTACTTATTCAAACTTGTGGGGGACACTGAGCAGACAAGAAGAGCATGCTTGGGGGACAGAGGTGGGTGCCTGATTAGCAGCTTCTGCCCTGCGAAGGTGGCAGGGCTCCATCAGGTTTTCATTCTAAGTCCTTATGTGATGCCTGCACGTGCCAGGCGCTGTTCTAGGTCTTGGGGATTTAGCAGGGATAAGACAGCCATGAGCTCTGCCCTCATGGCACCTGTGCTCAGGCTGAGGGATGGGAGGGACACCTGCTCGGCAACCCTTGTGTGTGCCAGGCTCTGTCCAAGGCCCCACGTGATGAGTGAGGCCTTGCTGGGTGTACAGGTCTCTCTACCCTGAAGGCCCTTTCCTGAAAGCTCCTTCGCTGTGCCTGGCTGGGCAGGGGAGCGAGGGCCCCACGGAGCAGGGCTGGGGGCCATTCTCATCAGCTGGGGGCTGTCACAGGCTGGGGACAGTCTCCCTCATTACCTTAGTGACCAGCTGGCAAGCTTCCTCCTGACACCAGAGAGAGCTGGGGTGCTGCCCTGGGGGTGGTTCTTCAGCCCCACATTGCCAGGGGTGGCTGAAGTATTCCCACCTGCCATCCCAGGTGCCCGTCTTGGGCTGCATGTTCCTCGCAGCTGGGGTGCCTTGCCTGGTGCGCCCCCTGGCTGCCCGCCCCACGGGCTCAGAGGGGCCATTCTGGGGAGTTGGAGCAGCCAAGCCATCTGGGGCGCCGCTTCTATTTTTATTCTGGATTTGGGGACGGGCGGGCTGGCCCAGCCAGAAATGCCCTTTAAAGGCTCCTCTGTGCTGGCACTGCAGCTGGAGAGGCCTTAAAAGGCAACGCTCCCTCCCGTCACCGTCACTGTCACCGTGATTGCTTCTGCCTTCGATGGGCTGACGGGACTCGCGGGGACAAGAAGGGGCAGGGTCCAGGGGGCTGGTAGAGCACTGCGGTGGAGGATTGGGGGGTTGTTAGTCAGTGGCCGCATGGCAGCACCAAGCTCAGCTATCCGTCCTCTGGGGCCTGAGCTGGGCCCACTGGGTGTGCGACTAGGGAACGGGCATCTGTCGGGCAATGTCGGGAAGTTCTCTCCCCTCAGACGGCTGTCACAGGCGTGTGCTGATGGTAGTTATAATTATGATGAAATGCCAGCTTGCCCCAAGCTGGAGCACATGCCATCTTCTAGAACCTGCCATGAACCCTGAGCAGGCACTGGGGTTCTCACCCCTCTTCCTGGTGGGGGGCCCTCAAAGGCCTTGGGGAGCTGTGACCCAGGGCCTACGCCTCTCAGCAGCGCTCACGTTAGCACTGCTTCTCAGAGCAGGATAGCACAGCTGACAGAGCTGGGGTTACTTGCTGCTGGGGGGCGGGTCTCACGATGGGCTGGTGTTCCTTTGGGCCAGTCTCAGGGGGCTTTCCTGACCACGTAAGCCTCTGGAGATGGCGGGGACCCTAGCACAGCCCCCTGATGGGCACTCTGACCTGGGCACCCTCACCCCTCCCCAACCCATGTGACAGTGACCCAGGCTGGGGAACATGGAGCCAGCTGCCCACGTGGGGGGCTGGGCTCTGTGAACCACAGTGCCTAGCGCCCTTGGGGGTCCCTGCCTTGTCTCCTGAACTTGCCGCCGGCGTGGTCGTCCAGGGCTGGGTGTTAATGTGGGGCTGGAGACCTGTCCCCAGAGCCAAAGCCAAAGCCAAGGTTTGGTCCTCTCTTGCACAGCCGCACCAGCCCCGCAGCGAGCAGCCCCTGGTCCCCACCCTTTGAGGCAGCTGGGCCCCAGTACCGCACACTTCTGGGTGAGGCCAGGCAGGGCTCCACGTAGGGGGGCAGAGTGGGGAGTTGCTGCTTGTAGGAAGATGCATGGCTAGGGGTGGATTAAAAATCTTTCTTTTCCTTTTTGCCTGTCTTTAATGAGCATCCAGCCTGCTTTCCCCTGGGCGGCCGTGCCCTGCTCACAGTGTCCTGGGGCCAGACCATGCTTGGGCAGCCACAGTGCCCCTTGGCTGCCCCGAGCCCACATGCTATGTTTCTGACCTTCAGGGCCATGTTCACGGGTGGCATGAGGGAGACGAGCCAGGACGTTATTGAGCTGAAGGGTGTGTCGGCCCGCGGCCTGCGGCACATCATCGACTTTGCCTACAGTGCCGAGGTGACACTGGACCTGGACTGTGTGCAGGACGTGCTGGGTGCAGCCGTGTTCCTGCAGATGCTGCCCGTGGTGGAGCTGTGTGAGGAGTTCCTCAAGGCCGCCATGAGCGTGGAGACCTGCCTCAACATTGGCCACATGGCCACCACCTTCAGCCTGGCCTCGCTCAAGGAATCGGTGGACACCTTCACCTTCCGGCACTTCCTGCAGATTGCCGAGGAGGAGGACTTCCTGCACCTGCCGCTGGAGCGCCTCGTCTTCTTCCTGAAGAGCAACCGGCTGCAGAGCTGTGCCGAGATTGACCTGTTCCGTGTGGCCGTCCGCTGGCTGCAGCACGACCCCGCCCGGCGGCTGCGCGCCAGCCACGTGCTCTGCCACATCCGCTTCCCGCTCATGCGGTCCTCAGACCTGGTGGACAGCGTGCAGACGCTAGACATCATGGTGGAGGACGTGCTGTGCCGCCAGTACCTGCTGGAGGCCTTCAACTACCAGGTGCTCCCCTTCCGGCAGCATGAGATGCAGTCGCCGCGCACAGCCGTGCGCTCGGATGTGCCCTCGCTGGTTGCCTTCGGTGGCACGCCCTACACTGACAGCGACCGCTCGGTCAGCAGCAAGGTGTACCAGCTGCCCGAGCCGGGGTCCCGCCACTTCCGTGAGCTGACGGAGATGGAGGTAGGCTGCAGCCACACGTGTGTAGCCGTGCTGGACAACTTCGTGTACGTGGCCGGGGGTCAGCACCTGCAGTATCGCAGTGGCGAGGGCGCCGTGGACTCCTGCTACCGCTATGACCCCCACCTGAACCGC